CCAGAATCTCGTCGTGATCTCTTTCAATTACGCATTGCACTTATATCAACTCGAATCTATATTTTACTGATGATAGGCATCATAATTAATCTCAGTACGTATCGCTTAATTACTGTTCCCATTGAAACGGCAACAATACAAAAACCATCAGAAATAAATTACACAGGTTTATATGAAAAATATCAAACTTCACTATCTTGTTCTTGCAAACAAATCGTGATTTACTATCAAGACTTTGTCAACGTTTCAATAAACTACCATCCATTGTGCACAAGTCAGTTTATCTCTGATGATTGGATAAATGAATTATCTTATCACAATCTGACGAGTTTTGACTTCAACGACTTTCGTCTAATTGCCAGTAGTTACTTTCAATTACTTGCAACACTCTGTTCAATAACTGCTAGATCGGTTCAAAATGCAATGAATGATTTCTTATCAACAGTTCTTCTATCAAAGTATCTTATTTCGATGACATCAATAAATATTCAAATTCAGGAAGAAATTTCTTTCAATCTAAACTCAGTTGCTAATGCTGTACAGCAACAACATGAATATATACGGAGAATTATTCATACGAATCAGTTTGAATCGGCATTCCAGACACCGAGGGAATTTCGACTCGATTACTCCTTAATTGCGCCCCATTATGCCTGGCAAGGTTTATATTTTCCTGCAACTAATATTCAAATGAACAACGATATGTCATGCAATTGTATTAATGTGTCTACCTGTTCGACTCAAGCAGTGTATTCCAACATTAGTGACATGTAAGTTCAAATTTGAAACAAAAATAAGTTTAAAAAAACGCTATATAAAATCCGGGAATACTCGCAGAATAGTACAAGAGTCTGTGATTCTCTTACTCGAATAGACTCTAAGTAAAATAAAAGTCTATTTGCTATGTAGATGATAACACTATTCTATCATCTTGAAAATTGTATAGGTTGTCCAATCTCTTTCATAAATTAAGTATCTCATTTAAGTCATTTGTTAGACTTATTTTGTCAACTCCAGTACGAAGATGTTCTATTTCTATTCGATTACTGTGATTAATCATTGTTCACTTGTTTGGTTTTATGCTCAGTAGAGAGGGTTCATAATACTTAACAATGCTGATGTATTAGATATGAGCAAAAAATAGAATCTTCTATGAGTAATTTTTCAGAAGATTTCCTTCTTTCTACTAGTCGATAAGTTTCGACACTACTGAAATAAATCATAATTTTTACTAAGATGTAGCATGTTTTTTATAGGAGTCCAAATGGATTTCGTTTTGGTTGCTATCCAATTGAAGGCTTACTTCAATCTACACTCGAATGCTTATTTAATCATACATGTATACAATCGATGCTCATTCTTTTTCCAAGAATCACTATGATTTATATAGATGTACTTAAAAGCAATGAAACAAAATTTTCACCTAGCACAACCATTGAAACACTTTTGAATGAATTATTTATGGAAAACTGGCTTCCAATTATTTCTTTTTCAAATTATTACACAAAATGCGAGCCTATCTCTTGCACATATACATTTACTCGAACTGGTAGTGGACTTGCTGTCGTGACTACAATAATCGGTGTCTTTGGTGGACTTAGTATTATTCTACGATTATGTGTGTTCAATATCGTCTCTTGGTGGTACAATCAGTTCTTCAAACCACGAGAACCTATAGCAGGTAAGTTCTAATTCTAAGTCTTAGTTATAGTAGTGAAATTGCTTCATTTTCAGATATTTCTGTACGTCAATATATTCAAGCAAAATGGCAAAAGATAAAGTCTCTAATAATTGAATTTAATCTCTTCGAGAGTGCAGAAGCTCGCACGGATCCTTTTGAGATGGCTACTACGCGAATCATAACTCATGTTTTTCTCATATCTCTAAGCCTCTTATTAATTGTCATAGTTTTGTACAGTTCAATTACTCTCAGACTCTATAGTGCAACGGTTACGAACCCGTTGGAAAAACATTTTGAAATTCTCTACTACAGCTATTCTGATACACTCCATTGTTCATGTAATAAAATTACAATTCCATATGAAACGTTTGTTTCGACATCACCCATATTCCATCCAGTTTGCACGAGTTCGTTGGTATCGCAAGAATGGATTCAGTATTTATCAGACATAAAAGTTTCTCGATATTACTTTACAGAAGCTGACTTTTCCAGCTACGCTGTCAGCTTCTTTAATGCTTTGGTCACTCTGTGTTCTCTGGCTAACACGACTGTTATCAATGCTTGGACCATTTTTAGTCGTTCAACATTGATCAGCGAGGAAGCATTACCTTCAAAATATTTATCAACCAATGTAGATGTCATTCTCAATCAATTTATAAAAAATACAATGGCAGAGTTCAAACGTAGTCTGGCCATCGTTGATCTTCAAGCACAAAACTGGCTCATTCCTGAAGGGGGTAACGTTGAGTGAGTATCTCGCGTTGTGTAGAGGTTCGTTCCTTTTTTGGCAAGATCAAACTTAAATTAGTCTATCTCCACATGTGCGGCTAACAATTTGAATGAAAAACATTCACAATCAAAACATAGGTTTTCGCCAAAAATAAAAATAATTTGATTTCTTTTTAGCTTATCTTTAAGTGAGATCATTTTTCAGAACACTTGACCCAGTTTGAATCGATTAATTTATTTTCAGTTAAGTTTGCAGGGATGGACTGTCACATTACATTTTGCTGTGAAATAGGAAGAATCTTTATGATTGTAGACAAGTTTAGAACGTTCATGCCATTAAACAAAGCCCAATCGTAGTCTTGAAGAAAAGAAAATTAAAATTTCTACTTCAAGATCTTAATGATTATTTTTATGTATTATGACTCAATGATGTCACCTATAGCAAAAGATACATCGAGAACAAAGGAAGACAAACACAGCTTCTGAGAAGTTCTGAAGTAGCTGTTGAACGAAAACGCTTTACTTACGTTAAAAAACAGTATCAATATGATAGAAATTCTGATACGAAGATTTTTTGCATTAGCTATTGATTATAAAAATCAAATTCTACTTTTAAATCTAGTGATGCTTCAGAAATTTCTGATCAACTGTGAAACGTCTCTTGTATTTCATGTTAAAAATATTTCTTTTTTCTTAAGATTTATCTATAAACTTTTAACCATTAATTATTCTTACCATATTCTTCGGTTCTATGCGCAGCCAAGTGTCAGAACTAATTGCACATGTGCATTTGATGACAATTGTACGTATCAAATGAGCTTATACAGATATGATGCCACTTACCATGCAAGAATCATTTTTTCTATTCCAAATTTTTTTATTGGATGTTCTTCGATCAACTCTGTTCGTTTATCGTCACTCGAATGCTTTGCTAACGAATCATGCTTGGATATCGTGACGGAGATGTTGGCTGAATATATAGTGCCATCCATGAACACATCAATTCTCTCATTCAATGGTAGTCAATTTTTCTCTAATACAATAATGAGCGATGTTATAGATGTTCTTATGATCGATCAATGGAATGTGAATATCAGCTACGAGCGATACTACAACCAATGTAAACCGTCACAATGTTCGTATATATATAGAATACGTGGTGGTCTGATGTATGTATTCTCAACAATACTTGGCATATTTGGTGGACTTATCATCGTTCTCAAATTAGTGGTAAACCTCATAGTTAGAGCAATACGCAACCGAATGCGATCAAAAATCCAAAATACTAACACAACAGGCAAGTCATTCAAAATTCTAGTAGAAAGTTTATTTCAGAAGGAGTAGGTCCGAGGAAAATTGCTAACAGTCTGACTAGTATGTCCAATATCCGGCTGTCACAGAGCAAGCAATACTGAGCGTAAATGGAACAAATGTCTACAAAAAAAGAGCAGAAAATCCGATAGAATTAGATTACATGTTATTCTTCTTCTCTGATGTTTGCCTTTAATAATCCTCGTTTGATAGGAAAAAATATCATCTAAATTTTATCTGCATTCTTATTGCTAGATCTAGTTTTCATCTAGTATTTTACTTTACTTTCCTAGAAAACTGTTATTATCCTTTTTTTTGTCGAGAAATCTTTTTTGAATTTAGATAAGAGAGAGATTTCTAGTGAAAGTGGAACTCGGAAAATGACCACGTGTGGCAAATACCTCTAAGGTTTCATTTTGCTTACTCGATGTAAGAAGCTTTAATGCATTGTGTATCATCAAATACTGTTGTATGATAGTGAAGAAAATCTTTACTATCTTAGTCTTGCATTTCGGATATTTTATAGGGTCAACACTGAAGAATGTCACTACACTTTTAGTGAAAAATTTCAATATTATGAATCTTTCTTCTTGTAGCTCGACTTAATTTTCTTGACCATATACATTATCTAGCATATTGGCTTAAAGAACACGCAGTACAACTTAATTTGTTTGAGACTAAGCTATCATGGACTGATAGTGAATGCCGTCAATCAGAAATAATTATGACTCGAATCTACCTGCTTTTGCTGTCTATCTTTATGATTATCGCGTCAATTTATACATCAAGCGTCGTTCGAAGTCAAAGTTTTACCGTAAAGAATCCGTCGATACAAACTTTCAATCAACTTCATTCGAATCAACACTACATACCTACTCTGAACTGCCCTTGCCAGAATCTTACTATACCATATAAGAATTTTTTTCAGGTTTCTCCCTATTATCATCAAATTTGTTCAAGTGATTTTGTTATCTTAAATTCTGAATGGATTGAGCTTTTTTCGTCGTTTATATTCAATTCTAGCTTTACCTATGATGATTATCGAATTTTTTTGGTACCACTGTTCCGAGGGGTTGCTTCTTTATGCAATATTACTAAAATAACAGTAGCCGATGGGCTATCTACAATTATGTCAAATGTATTTATTAGTGAACGAGTCGAGACCAATGATACCATTCAGTCACAAATGACTTCAGCTCTAGCATATTTTCATTCATCAACCAGTAAGGCATTTCTTTTAATGTTCGATTACGTCAAAAACATAGCGAAGGGTAACAGAATGATCTCATCGATATTATCTAATTGGTATCTTGATGAATGCACGGCAGAGTATTTGTCTTATCTGCCCAAACTGAATCTATCGTCACGTTCATATGCCAATGGTACTTGCACATGTGATCATAGCCTAAATTGTTTATCTCCTTTAATTATTGATGAATGGGTAGTTCCAGGACTTCAAATCGGATGCGATCCAATGGAATCTCTTCTACAATCTACTCTTGAATGTCTCTATGATGTAACATGTATCAACCAGATCATGCCGAATAATACAACACCAAATATAACGTTTCATGCTCTTAAATCTACACTATCATCTTTCCATGACAATGTTCAGTCTTTAGTGAATATTCTTATGGTTGATCAATTGAAAACAAATGTCACTTATGAGAATTACTATAAATCATGTGCTCCTGCCTATTGTACCTATTCACTCAACACACGATTTGATAAAGTATTTGTTTTCACAAATATAATGGGCCTCTCTGGAGGATTAACAGTTACACTTAAATTAATCATTCCATTTGCAGTGAAATTTTGGCAACATATTCAAGTGCATCGTCGAAGAGTTGTTCAGCCAATGACTAATGTAATCTCATAAAACATTTTTAAAACCAGCTTTTGATGTTGTTTATATAAAATTATTAAATGCATATTAACTTTTACGATGATTATTTCATTTTATTTAAGAAAGATTCTATTCCGCAATAAAGTTTGATATGTCTGTACAACTATCTATTACATCCTTTTGGAAAGCAATGTGAAAACAATTGCTGAAAAATAGAACATGGTGTCTCAAAGAAACTTGGGCATCATTATTCAACTTCGATCTTAGTATATGATAGTAGTTCGAAAAGTAGCAACGATCAATATTTCTAATAACAATCGAGAAATATTCATTCATCGTATGTGAATTAGAGATTACACCGATTTCTGACCTTTCATAGCAAGAATTGCGTATTGACGGTGGTGTAAATTGCTAGTTCAAGCCAAGCGTTTGAGTATGATCTATTGAATTCTTATCGATCTGCCCGCTTCAATGTTCAAGAGCAGAAAGTTCATATATCTTGAGCCATAACCGCATCCCATTTTCGATTGTTTTATTCAGTATGTACAAGTTCACAGATATAACTAAAAGGAAAATATACAAATTTTTGACTAATACGAAAATTGTCGTAACACTTTTGCAGTTTGGTTTCTCCATCGACTATCTCATGCAAGAGACACTGGCTACGATCGATTTAAAAGCTTTTTTAAAAAAGTATTAAAAATTCATTTAATTTGCAGGTAAAATATCCAAGTACTTCTTTCAATATCATTCAGCTATTTAAACGAATGAAGTGTTGTGTGCTAGCAGTGACAGTTCAGTGAAGTAAAATGATTAAAGATATTGTACAATCTTATTCGAGTTAATTTGCTTTCTGCATGTCACTGTACACTGAAAAAAAATAGGTACCATATGAAACCCCAAAGGTATCCGATTTTTGTAACGAAATCGAAATCCTTTGAGGTTTCGTACTTTGGGTTCCGTATAATTCGCCACGCAATATTGAATGAAAGATTCGTCGGGTGCTATGCTCCATTATGAAAGTAGTTTTTCACCAATATCCACTGCAAAACACACCAACTCTCTAAAAAAAGAACCGGGTTCTATAGAAACCACCAGGAAAGATGTCTGAGAATCACTGTATCCTGTAGGGAAAGACAGGGTATCGCTGGAACATAGAAGTGCAGTATTCCGACCGCAAACTTCCAAATTTTTTTGAATGATTTCCGCCGTATCATGCTGAAAGGCATTGCAAGTTAGTCGGACCTCACTAGAAAAATCAGGAAAGTTTGCGACCGGGATACTGTTTCCATGTTGCACCGATACCATGTGTTCTCCTACAGAATACGGCGACTTTCAGGCTTATTTTCTGCCAGTTCCTCCAGATTCCGGTGGGTGGAGCGATCGGTATGGGATGTTTCATCTAAAAAGAAATAAAATAATTCATCAGCTTTTAACTTTCAAAATCGAACTCACCATTAATATTTGTTCATCTTCAACTGCCGCTTGATCTAAATAGAAATAATATATTTCATCAGATTGTATTTTTTTAAGTCAAGCTCAACATTAATATTTGTTCATCGAGCAATCGATCTAAAGAGAAATAAAATATTTCATCAGGTTTTAAGTTTTAAAGTAGAACTTACCATTACCATTTGATCAAATGACGCTTGCTCTAAATAAAAATTAAAAGCGTAACTATCGCCTCTTCCACTCACTTCACCTCGGCTGAATAGATTAGAAGTATTTTCGTTCGATACTGATATCGATAGGACCCATCTATCAATTCTAACCCTGAATACCGACTCACAGGCCTCCCGAATTGTAAATACTCAAAAACAGTTTCCTTGTAAAATAGTTGTAAGCGAACGCATCTTTAACCTAAACGCTATAAACAAAGCAAACTATCAAAATCCACGTAGGCTTTAATTATTAAACTCTTTTGCCAAGAAACAATACTACGATATTATGAGCCGCTAATGTATGGTTGCGCAATGTCCATCGCATCTTTAGAAAAAACTTTTATAACAACAATGATAAAATTGATTTTCCATGGACATAATTTCTGACCAATGAAAGCTTCGATCGAACACATGATAACATATTCGGACTCCTGGACATCGATAACCTATTATAAACTTTGATCAGAATTGAGAGGGGAGCTGAACTGAAAAGTTTAACTCTGGAGCCCTTGATTGTTTGATTGACCCAATTTCTGACCTATGGGAGCTCGGATCGAGCAGATGATGTCGGATTCGGATTCCTGAACCTCGATAATCTATTGCAAAGTTTCATCAGAATTTAGAACGGAGGTGAAATAAAAAGTCAGACTTTGGAGGGGTCCAATTTTTGATGTATCCTGTTTGATGATAGAAAACGTTCATCTGAAATGATTAGAACCGAGGTCATGTTGTCTTTTGTAAAGCATTCAAGATTTTTTAAGCTGGGAACCTTTAAAAAATTTTTAAAATCTCGGAAACCGATTTTCTACATGCGTGTGAATCGAGTTCTTTGGAAATTCTGAATGGTAGAAAAAAGAAATTATTTTGAATGGTGATTTACCGATGGACGAATTTTACGCGAGGTATATTACGAAACCCTTTTGAATACGAAACTCAAAAGGGTTTTTGATCAAACCTATGGGGTAATATAAAATTCGAAGGATTCAGTACGAAACCTTTTTATATTTTAAAACTCTTTAGAGTCTGTTACAAAACCTTGGATATTGCTAAACCTCATACAGGTTTCGCATGATTCTACAGACACGTATATAGTATAGCAAAACTCCACGAAACCTCAGAGGTTTCGTGTGGCACCTTTTTTTTTAGTGTGGGCGAGGGTGTGGGTGTGGGTGTGGGTGGGTGTGAATGTGATTTACGATTCATTCGCACCCACACCCACACCCTCAAATAGCAATACAATATGGTATCGTATGCACATAGTATCATCGTATGTACATGTTGTTTTACCTTGTCTTGCTCATTTAATATCTACAGGGTGCATATTAATAACGATAGCTCGATGAAAAATTTTCATTGAAATAAATCGATATCCTCAAGAAGATCTTCATCGAATATGGTTTAGACAACTCTATCTTCATAAAGATTTCTTAATACCACCATTATTAATAATAATTTGTATACTTCCTGATATTATTGTTGATTATATATTGATACCGAAATGTCTTAATTCATTGTTTATAAGTTCGATACGTTTACACATCGAATTCGTTTTGCTCTTCAATATTCCTCAAATCTTAGGGTGTGGGTGTGGGTGAGTGTGAATGTGATTTACGATTCATTCACACCCACACCCACACCCACACCCACCCACACCCACACCCACTCACACCCTTTATTCTATATGTATAGAGACATGCGGGGCGAATCTAGAGACGATTTTGTATTTTTCTCTTTCATACTCTATATCTTTGTCAGTTTAGAAGATAGAAAAAAATTTTCTTCACAAAGAATATAGAGCAAACATTTTTCTTCAATTTTCTGCTTTCAGATTTTCAAAATCTTGTCGGGAACAGACTCTACACTAGTTTTTCCGAGAGCCCTAATAGCATTCTTGATTCGCCCCATTTTGGGGCGAATAAAGAATCATTTATCGTATAGCGGGGCGAATCTAGAATTCTATCAAATTTCGACTTTGACATTAAAACTAAAGTTTCTCATCTATTTCTACTCCGATTTTTGTTGTTCTTTCATTATTTTGAAGCACAATCATTTCTCTACAAATGTATACTAGTTTCATCCAACAGATCTCCAATCAATCCAAGTACTAGATCTTCCTTTGGAAGCACCAAGAAAAAAAAATGTATCGATTCGCCCCATACGGGGCGAATCTAGAATCATATACAAATGAGCGGGGCGAATCTAGAAAATAGGTTATTTTTGCTAGATCTCATAAAATGAAATTTTCTATTGTTTTACAATGTTTTTCCAAAGTGTTCTCTATGACCAAAAATGTTCACCTGGTCGAGCTCTACTACTCTATGCTACTTTTTCTTCTCTTATTGCAAGAAAAAAAAAGAAACATTCGTTCCATACAATTTATTTTCATAAAACATACGTTGAAAGTAAGAAAAGTTACATCAATTAGTTTATTTTCATAAGGTACACATTAAGACTAATAAAAGTTATATCAGTTTCGAATTGTTTGAGTAGAATCAATACAAGATTGAAGAGAACATTGTTCGCACATGAAATACGAAGTAGATGAATTGTAGAATCGTTGGGAGCAATTGATACAACACATTTTTGTGCATATTGTACACTTAACATAGGATCCATCGAGAATTACTTGATCACAACGATAACATGTAAATGATGATTGATAATATGAATAAAAATTGTTTATCGATTGATTATAACCATGAGGTACATTCATTTGAGTACGATAATGCATTTGTGGTGGCATATATGAGGTATTTGAGGGATAGGAAATCATAGGTGCAAAATTTGTATTGTTTTCGTTGGAGCTTTCTTCAAAATCGAAAGCCTCGAATGTAGTTTTGGTAAGTGTTTTTGGTTTTCGTCCACTGAAAAAGAAAGAAAATAAAATATTAAAACGTTGCCTGCATTTACTCTTATTTCTAATTTGTCTTTTTTTCCTTAGTTTATGACTAGTAGTCGTTGTATTTAACTTAGTCAGTAGCCTTGCTAGATCAATGTTTATATGAAAAGATTCTCTTGTATCTCTTTTCTGAAGATCTTACCGTTTTGCAGCAGTTTTTCTGGTTTTTGTTGCTCCCTTGGCAGTAGTCGAAGTAGAGTTCTTGCGTTTCAAGCTCTTCTTTTCTTTTTTATTAATTTTGCAGAGGGCATCGATTGACGTAAGACTTTCGCCATATGGTCGTCCGAGGATAAATTTTCGTTTTTCAGTTGAAGATGGTAGTGGTTAGGGGGGGGGGGGGGGGGGAGGGGGGTGGGGGGGGGTACCCCCCTCCTGCTTTTGAAAATTTTCGTTTTTTTTGCTCAACAATACCTCAAAATTTGATGTTTTTTCACATTTTCTCCCATTTTTCGAAAGTACCCCCCTCCAGAACATTTCTTCCTCAGATTTTCTCCGATTTTTCGAAGGTACCCCCCCTGCTTTGACCTCTTCGCGCCGCCCCTGGTAGTGGTGGAGTCAAAAAATTACTGATGAAGTTTGTAAGTACTTCGAGAGAATTGCTTCCAGGATTCATCATATTTGGAGTAATCGATTCATATGGTACATTTGTAATCGGTTCATTTAGTCGAGAAGATATATGTTGTTGCACTGATGCAGTAGAATAATTCAAATGACCGGATAAGCTTTTATCTAAAACAATGAGGTAATAATATGGAAATGCTTCTCTCAAAGTGAACTAACTGTCTCCAAATAATTGAAGTCCATTTTGATTAAGATTACATTGACCAGGATTGAAATACGATGCAACAGCTAAAAAACAAAATACTGTAAGTAATGTCCGTCCAAAAAGTCCGTGCGTGTGATTATTTTTTGAATAATTTTTGATAGGAACAAGATACAGACTTGCGGTTTTCGGCGTTCGACAGCCAAGGCAAAGAGGCATCTTTCCACTATGAAAAACTTTTCTGAGGAACAATTTCGAAGTCACTTTATCACAGGATCTTTGAAAAGTTAGATTGGATTTCTCAAAACTTGCATGGAGACCTATTGATATTTTTACATATTTGGAATCTCCACTAAAAACTGAGTCAACTCATATATGTTTCGAATCGTTTCGCAACACTTTTTTTCCATCGAAAACCTCTGCCCTAGGAACCCGTCAACAAATAAAGTTAGTCAAAAGATCACTTGGACAGTGGAAAGCAACTTCCGCAGTTGTAAAATGCTACTATAACACAAAATGGCGCAAGATTAAATGATAGAAACGGCGTTTTGACGAACTTTATTTGTTGACGGGTTCCTAGGGCAGAGGTTTTCGATGGAAAAAAAGTGTCGCGAAACGATTCGAAACATATATGAGTTGACTCA